GTAATTATTATTTTTTCATAAAAATGGAAAATTCCCAAAATTTAAAGTATATGGTAGCCATATTATATGGAAGTTGTGAGGTACCTAACACACCTTTCCCACGCTTAATTGACCCTTTGGTCCTAGTCAATTTCTATGCAAACTTTGGTGATCTATCCCACCTCATTTTGATAGATGGTGACTTCATCCATTTTGGCATGTCAACAATTTGGCGACTCCACTAAGGACATTGAGAGACCAAACCATTTAAACTTTAATTTTGGGGTTTTTCAATTTTTAACTTTTGTTTTGCACTTGGCATAGAGTACCTTGTAAGTTTTTTTCATTTTGTTATTTTATTTAATATTTTTGTTATTATTTTCTTTATGTTAGCATTATGTGTATACTCCTTCACACACCTCACTTGCATATCATTTTGTCCTTAATAAGGTGAACTCGACCTTTAAATAGATGGATAACTCATGGAACAATGCAAAGCGCAATGCTTTCCTTGTGAAGTAGGATTTATCTCTCTCGGGTTAATTTTGTGGGTTAATATGGCCTACCAACCATAATGCTACTGCTATATTAGGTCATGAAATGGCTCTTGTTAACTTTATGAGAGTTAGCAGTTGAAAAGGCCTGATTGTATAGGATCCACTAGGAAACCACATGTAATGGACTTAGATAAAACTTAACCATAGGATGGCCAGCCTAGTAAACCACCTTTGAAGTTTAAGAACCCTATACATAGGACACGTAGAGAGTATTTTATTACGAAGTTCTTGTGTTTCTTAGGTGAGGAATTCGACAAAGAGGTATGACATTTATTAACTCTTCTTTTTTTTTTTCTTTAATAAATAGGTAATTGATGGATTCTTCGGAGAAAAAGGACAGTAAGGGAAAAATGGTGAATTTAGAGTTAGAATGTCTACTGTTATCCAAGAAGAACAAGTCATATAAGGATCGATTCTTTGTGCAGACCAAAAGACCTTATGTAAAAGACTTGGTTGCTACTTGGAATAGTCTAAGCAATCTTGACAAAGTGAGGTTTGACAAGAAATTTGGAAGAATAGCTGATGTGTTGCAAGTAGAGCCGGATTGGGAAATCATTAGAGCAATCCTAAGATATGATGTCCCGTATTTTCGTTGCTTTGTTTTTCCCAAGTTTAAGTTGGTACCCACCATTGAAGAATATTTTCAATTATTATTCAGTCACCAAGCCATGAGTTTAGAAATTTATGTTCCAAATCCTATTAACTTTCAATTAAATAAGTTGCAATTCAATCCATGCTACAAAAGATTTTGAGCTTTCCTTTAAAGTTCACAGAGAGTTGCATTATGAAGAGAAATGAAGTTTGGGGAGTTAATTGAAACATGATGTATTTAAAATTAAAGTCTGATCTAAATTCACTCTCTAAGGAAGATCATTTGAATTTTGTTTCCTTGGGTTTTTCTGCAATGGTTATTTTGCCTACTAGTATGGAGGTTACCAGTTCATTTGTTGTAGTCATATTTGAGCAGTTGATCAAGAATCCAAATCTTAATGCTGCTCCTGCTTTAATTGCTGAAACTTTACAAGATGTTGATTATATTAAAGCTCATGGCAAGGGTAGATTCACATGTTCTACTAGTTTGTTTACAATATAGATAAATGCACATTTATCAAAAGTAAATTTCTCCACAATTAAGGAGTTTGGAATTTTGCAAAAAAAAAAAAAAAAAGAATCAATTGGAAAAGAAAGTGGCTGACCAGTGGCATCAACAATTCTTGAATTTGAAATATGAAGACATAGTCTAGTGTGTGACATGGTTGAAGACTACTAATTACTTTTATCCTTCACATGGCTATAATTGGATTTCATTGTTGGGTGTTCGAGGAGCTATTAGCTATAGTTCAACACTAGTGATAAGGCAATTTCGTGATAAGTAAAGTAAATTATTGTTGGAAGGTATTTCTTCATATGGGTTTGATTATTCTCTTGATACCTACGTAATTAATCAAATTGGCTTTGCCAAAGAAGTATGGTCACAATGTGAAGTTTGTTTCTCAAGGGATGAGATTTTAGTCACTTGTGAGTTTGAAGAATGGAGGAAAGTTTGGCTTCAAGACATAGTTATCCCTTATAAGATTCCAATTGTTAAAGAAGCTATCATGGTGGACTTGAAGAAAAAAATAATAGAATTAGAAGGTTTGTCTTATGCTCAAAGGGTCAAGCATGAAAAGGAAATTAGTGAGAAAAATATGGATATTTATCTTTTGGAAGCTGAGAAGCAAAAATTGATTAAAGAAAAGAATTCTATAACTTTTGAAAAAGAAGAGGTAGACAGAGAACTTGATAGGCATGCTTAAACTCTTAAAAAATTAAGAAAGATCATCCAAAAGGAAGAAAGGCAGAATGATAATTTAATGCATGATAGAAACAAGTTGGAGGATGAGCTCAATCAAGTCAAGGATCAAAATGCCAATTTAAAAACTCAAGTAAACTAGTAGCAAGATGAGATTAATCGACTTAAGGACTTCAAAAATAAAGTGGAGAATTTGCTTGATAATAAATTATAGTTGTCACAACAACTTGAGGAAGCTCACAATAATGAAAAACTGATGAAGGAAAAATTGGCATTAACACAAACATGACAAGTTTATTAGGATGAGAAGGTAAAAGGATTAAATGGACAGTTGAGGGAAGCATTGGCTACAATCAGTCAATTAAAGAGAGAAAAGGGAAGGGTGCTCTATTTGGTTAATGGAATCTATTCTAAAGTAATGGAGGTTGAGTGTACTATTCCACCAAATCAACATGATGCGACTTCAAATTTTGTGGAAGGGCTTTCGAGGATGATAAGGGATTATTGTGAACATGAACCTGAAACAATAGATTATTGGAAAAATCAAAAGAAATGAGAGCTTGTGATTGTTATCTATCAACTATTATATTTGAAATTTTAAATAATGGAATAAAGTTTGAAATCAAATTTCATATTTTTCTTGAATTCAATCTCTTGAAAAAGAAGCAAGTTCTACATAGCAACAAAAAGAAAAGATACGAAAAAGGCAACCTCGTCATTGTTTTTCTTTTCTTTTTCAAAAAATAAAAAAATCTAAAAGGTCATAAAGGAGGCAATCTCCTCATGTTTCTGGCTTGCGTGACAATTACTTGGCTCTAATTTCTCCTTTCCTTTACATACAAGTGGCTAAAGTTGTTCTTGATGATAGAATTCATTTGTAAAATAAATAATTAGAAGATAGGTTTACTCATCGATTTTATATGGTGGGAACTTTTGGAACTTATCTTTCAAAATGCCAATTAGATTAATCCATGATTTGTTAACAATGCTTATATTTCCTTAGGTTTCAAAAGATTGGTCCTAAAAGGAATTATCCAAGGATTTGTTCACCTATTCTTATTAGAGCTTTTGCAAAGAAGATGGCCAACGAAGAGAAAGGAGCTCTTAAAAATCGCATTGAAAATATGGAAAATACTTTAAAGGAATTGATGGCTTCCTTCCAATCTCTTCAAGCAACATTAGTCACAAAGGCACCTTTGACAACTAATCCTTTGTTTGAAGGAAATGTTCTTGTGGCAAAGCTCTCTATTGCCACATCTACTTTATCTCTCGGAAAGGAGCCAATGTCATCTTGCCTACCAAATCCAACTATTGTTGGAGCTTCTAGGATAAAACCACTTATTCTAAATGATGGTGTTGCTATAGTTCAATCTAATGAAAATGATCAAGTGGAGACTCAAATTGTTAAGTCGATCACAAAGGATGAAGACAAGATGATAAAAGCAAAGGTGCAATTGATGGAGGAAACACTAAAATTGATGCAAGGTGTCCAAACCGATAAATCGATGGACATCTCATCTTGGTGCTTTTTCCTAAACATTCAACTGCCACATAGGTTCAAATTGTCGGAATTTGATAAGTACAATGGCACTAGTTGTCTTTATGCTCACTTGATACTGTATTGTAGGAAGATGGCTCCTTATGCCAATGACGAGAAGCTAATGCATTACTTTCAAGACAATCTGATAGGTCCTGCAGATGCCTGGTTCTCTACTTTAGATAAAAGTCAGGTCAAGAATTGACATGATTTGACTCACATTTTCATGAAGCAATATGAATACAATACATCATTAGCTCCTAGTAGAGAAGATCTTTAAAAGATAGAGAAGAAATCAAGTGATAGCTTTAAGGAATTTGCTCAAAGATGACGTGGATTGGCTGCTCGAGTTCAACCTCCACTGAGTGACCATGAATTGATTAATTTATTCATCAAGCCAACCAAAGGGCCTTATCATGAAAAGTTGATGACTTGTGTGAATTGCACTTTTGCTCAATTAGTTGTTGTGAGCAAAAAGTGGAGGATGGAATCAAGTTTGGAATTATTATTGATTATCAAGCAATGAAGAGTGTCCTTGAACAATACCCAAATGGTAGTTTAGGGGTTTCTAGTTCAAAGAAACGTTGGCCAAAATTGAAAGAAGGAAAATGAGAATGGCACTATAAGTTCAATTTATGAGGCATATGGAAGAAATAATCAGTCACATGGGCAATTCAACAATCGATTCCAAGCTCCAACTTATAAATCAACGGCTTTTGCAAGTCAACCAAGGCCCGTTTATGCCTCTGGGGCAAGTCGTCCCCAACAAGAGAAAAAGAGACGCTATTTTGATAAACTTTCAATGTCATATACTGAAGTGTTTTGATAGTTGATGGTAGTTGGACTTGTTACTCCTGTACCTATGGTACCACTAAATCAAGCTATTCCAACATGTTATAACCCACAAGCAAGATGTGAATACCATAGTGGAGGTGTTGGGCATGACCTTGAAAATTATCTTGCAAGCACCGTATCCAAGATTTGATAGATGCAAAGGGGTTATAGATTGCATTAGAACCTGAGGTTGTTGGTCCAAATATCATTAAAAACCCTTTACCAACACATGATGGTCCAACAATCAATATGATTGAGAATGACTTTGGTAAAGGTCACGAGGTGACTACGGTTACCATTATCAATCAAGTGTCATCAACTCTTGACCAACCTTTGATATTGAAAGGGCCAAGTATTGCAACTACTGTGAAAAAGGCATTCATTTTGAAAGGAAGCAAGCAAGCATCATCTTTTCAATACCCATACTTAACTCTTTATCCATCTTCGAAGTCCACCTTCAAAGTCGCCCTTCAGTTCCTATAAGGCTATTCCTTGGAATTACAAGACTAGCACTAATGTCTCCATACAAGAATTCCTTGTTGAAGATATCTCTTTTATGACTCAAAGTGGCCATAGTTATGGAAGTGTGGAAAAACAATCTAAAGAGAAAAAGTCACAAAAGGGAATCATTGCACATGAAGAAGAAGTCGAGAAGTCTATTTCAGAGCAGGAAATAAATGATTTTCTTAGGATTTTGAAGAAAATGAGTACAATGTGGTGGAGCAACTTAATCAAACTCCTATTAAGGTCTCTATTTTACAACTCTTGCTAGCATTAAAAACCCACCAAAATGCTTTCTTGAAGATTTTGGATAAGGCTTTTGTGCCAAAGGATATTGACATGGAAAATTTAGCAATGTGATAGGGATTATCTTGGCACCAAATTTTATCAACTTTACTAATCATGAAATCCTTGAAGATGGAAGAGGACATGTGAAGGCTCTTCACATTTCAATTTTTTGCAAAGACATGCATGTTCCATGAGTGCTTATTGATAATCGTTTGGTGTTGAACGTTATTCCTCATTGAATTTTGAATCAGCTTCATCTGGATCAGTCATACATTAAGCCTTGTAAGACAACAGTTTGTGCATTTGATGGCACAAGGAAAGATGTAGATGGAGAGATTGAATTACCAGTCAACATTGGCCCATATACATTTGACATAACTTTTCAAGTTATGAATATTGAGCCTGAATTTAACATGTTGCTTGGAAGACCCTAGATTCATATGACTGGTGCAGTACCTTTTACTTTGCATCAAAAGTTGAAATATATTATGGGCAATTCTTTGGTTACGGTAAATGGTGAAAAAGATTATATCATCCATAAGGCTACATATGTGCCATATGTAGAAGTGGAGTCCCAAAGCCAAGAAGCAACTTAGCACTCTATGGAGTTTGTCTCAACCACATGTTGCAGAAGGCTCAATTTTGAGAACACCAAATCTATCTAGAGTGAGTAAAGGAGTTGCTGGGGTGATGTTGGAAAATCACTTTAAAGTTGGAAAAGGCTTAGGAATTGGATTATAAGGAATTGAGGAACCAAATGAGGTGAATGATACATTAGTAGGGTTTAGTTTGAGTTATAAACATACTCGAAAGGAATGGTTATGGATGAGGATAAGGAAAGCTGAAAGGCGTTGGGCTAGGTTAGAAAGAAGAGAACCAAATGAGGAACAACTACATATTCCTCATATTCGAGTGACATTTCTAAAACCTACTAAAGTTGTGCATGGATATGACACAAAGTCAATGGATGTAGCACTCAAAAAGGAGAATTTGAGAATTGATTAGATTCTAGTTGGTTATGATGATGTGGTGATTGTAGAGGATGCATCAGATGATGAAGATATGGGAACTATTGATTTGTTCAAGCCTTTAGTTTCAACAAATAATGATGGTTTGAGCACTTTTTTTGAGAAGTTAAGTATATGCATCATTGATGAAGGGATGGATGATGATAAGGTTATTCTGCTTGCTCATGGTGAATCTTTGGATAATTGGACAGTAGAGATTCTTCATGTTCCTATCATTAAATCATAAGATGTGTTAAACTTCTTGTGGTTGAGCTTGTAACCATGAGAAGAGATGGTTAAAACAAGCCTTTTATATTTTATGAAGCATTGCAGGCATGATAAACAATGTTATTTAATTCATTTCAATTAATGATGTTACTTTCATTTTCATTTCCTCTTTTCGTAGGCAAAATTGTTCATTTTCTTTCGCTTTATTCAATTTTCTTATGTTAGCCATAATTTCCATCTCCAAGTTTGCTAATAATAAATCCTCAAATAGTGATATCATTCCTAACCTTACATATAGTTTTAATGAACCAATTTATTTTGTGGAAGATGATGAAGAATTATAACCTTTCCTGAATTGATTGATATGTTGAAAGAAGAAGAACCGAAATTGTAGCATAATCAATCTGAAATAGAAACAATTAATTTGGGAACAAATGAAAATAAAAAGGAGATTAAGATCAATGAGCAATTGTATTGAGATGAAAGAAAAGCTCTTGTTGACTTGTTAAAAGAGTTTCAAGATGTTTAGGGTTTAGGGTTCATGCTATTCTGCTAAAGCCAGAATGTTCACCTGTGAAGCAAAAGTTGAGAAGAATGAAGCAAGAAACTTTGTTGAAAATCAAAGAGGAAGTAAAGAATCTACTAGATGTGGGGCTTATTGAAGTAGCCATGTATTGAAGTAGCCATGTACTCTCAATGGGTTGCTAACATTGTGCCTATGCCAAAGAAACATGCAAAAGTTAGAATGTGCATGGATTATAGAGATTTGAACAAAGCAAGCCCAAATGATGACTTTCCTTTACCACATATTCAGCTATTGGTTGACAATGCTGCTAAAAGTGTTAAATTCTTGCTTATTGATGGTTATTTTGGCTATAATCAGATTAAGATAAAAGGAGGAAGACAAAATCAAAACTACATTCATTACTTTGTGGGTCACCTTTGGCTACAAGGTAATGCCATTTGGATTAAAAAATGCGAGGGCAACTTATTAAAGAGTAATGATTACTTTGTTGCATGGCCTCATCCACAAAATCATTATGGTATATGTAAATGACATAATAATAAGGTTTGGAGAAAATGAAGATCATTTGGTGAATCTTAAAATTGTGTTTGAAAGACTAAGAAGGCACCGACTAAGGCTTAATCCAGCAAAATGCACTTTTAGGGTAACATTTAGCAAGCTCCTAGGGTTTATTGTTAGTAGAAGAGGAATCGAGATAGACCCTGCCAAGATCAAAGCTATTGAAGAGATGCCTCCACCAAAAACACAGAAAGAGGTGCATACTTTATTAGTTATGCTTAATTATATCAGTAGATTCATTGCTCAGATGAAAATCTTCCAATTGTTAAAGAAGAATAATCTTAGTGTGCGGGATGATCAATGCCAAGAAGCTTTTGACAAAATTAAGTGGTATTTGAAGAATCCACCAATTCTTATGCCACTAGTGGATGGAAGACCATTGATTCTTTATATGACAATGTTGGAAAGTTCCATGGGGCCTGTTCTTACTCAACATGATGATTTTGGTAGAAAGGAGCAGGCTATTTATTATGTTAATAAAAAGTTTAATGATTGTGAAAGTAGGTATTCATCTTCGAAAAAGACATGTTATGCATTGGCTTTGATTGCTAAGAAGTTTCATCATTATATGCCTTCCAATATTACATGGCTAATATCTCGAATGGATTCTATCAAATATATATTTGAGAAGCCTTTTTTGTCTAGAAGAATTGATCAATGGCATATGTTGTTATCAGAGTTCGAGATTATTTACATGACTCAAAAGCTAGTGAAAGGGCAAGTCATTGTAGACCATCTTGTAGAAAACATAGTTGAAGATTGTCAACCAGTTGATTGGGAGTTTCCTGATGAGGATATAATGGCAATTGAAGAAAGTAATTGTGAAACTTCTAATTGGAAGATGTATTTTGATGGAATTGCAAACCATAATGGAAGTGGAGTGGGGGTAGTTCTTGTCTCACCTAAAGGAGAACATTTTTCGTTTGAAGTGAAGCTTATTTTTCTTACACCAATAATATCACTGAATATAAAGCTTACATTTTGGGTTTACAAGTGGCCTTTGATATGAATGTTAGGACCTAGAAGTATATGGAGATGCATCCTTAATCATATTTCAAATCAAAGGAGAATGGAAGACAAAAGACACGAAGTTAGTGTCTTATTACCAGTACCTTGATTCTTAAACTAAGAAGTTCAAATTAATCTCTTTTGAGTACATGCCTTGATCGAAGAATCAATTTGCAGATGCCTTAGCAACCTTGGCTTCCATGGTACAAATATTGGGAGAAGACAATTCAATCACTCATGATAGATATACACAAAAACCTAGCTAATTACATGGAGATTAAGCAAGAAATAGATGGCCAACCTTGGTAC